GCTCCCTTTTTTGTATCACCCCCCCCTTCCCTTCAATCTTGACTACGGCCCTCACACACACCGACCAGACTAAGAAATTGTAAACTGGGAAAAAAATCAAGCCTCACTTAGTATTAAGTCTCGGAAAGGGAAGTAAAAGTGAGAAAAAGAAATAATAATGTAACATAGAAAGAGTAATGATAATTATACAGGAGCTTATTGATGAGATCATCATGCTCGTTATGTTGATCAGCGATTGATTAGAGCGAGTAAGCCATCAAGCTTTATGAGTACTCACAATATTGAATTTAGATGAGAGGAGGCAAACAAATAATGAAGTAATGGTGAACCAAAAAATTATGAATTCTAAATGTATAAGAGAGGGCCATGTCAGGCTCGCCTGAATAATCTGAGATGGATGGCGTGCTCTACTTGAGTCCTCCGTGAAACTCCTAGCATCAATGGGATTGATGGAAAGTGAGAGACAAGAGAGGACCAAAGAGGTGTTAAACTTTTCGACAGAGGTATAGAGAAGAGATTTTTCTTACAACTTCCCTTTCATAAAAGCACAATTTAGATCATCAGCTTGTGAAGAAAGGGAGGAGGCACTTGTTGAATAAATGAAGAATTGATTCTAAAAAATTCGAGAGTCTAAAAATGAACCCGTTGGGTCTAAGATGATCTAACTTTGGTGATTATAGGATAATATGATTGGACAGATTTTAAAATTAGTGTTTTGTTTGGACCAAAGCAAGTACTTACAATAAAAGTGATCAACATAATGTGTTCATTAAATATAGGGGAAAAAGATATCAACTCAATAGAGCCTGCATAAAAATGGGATGCTCAAGATTATTTACCTATTAAACATTAACTAATCTCAACAAAATTTAGGATTTGGCCTGGGAAAATCATTATTGCGAAACTCAACCGATGTAGATACAAGTGTATGAGGTAAGTTCAGGCAAGATATACTGTTTCAACCTGAAGTAGTGGACTAATAACCACAAACACACACAGCACACCAAATCTAGAAAATGAGACCAAAAGCAAACCTGCAAATAAAAATATCTAGTGATTCAAAAGATGGATTAAAGTTTCCTTGAGAGCGTGGGGAAAAAAAAAAAAAAAAAAAAACTAAGAAAGAGTGTAGAAAAGCCATGCAATTATTCCTTTGCACAAATGAAAAAGGTCAAATGAAAGTATGATCCTGAAGAAGCAGATGCTTCACCATGCTACCTCGGATATTACAATCTGCAAACCCCAATCCTCGCAACATATTGCCAACATAATAAAACTTATGAGCCAAAACACACAGAGAGACAGGTGGAGTCAAAGTTGATTTATTACATTAAACAATGAAACAATACAATAGACCCAGCACAGTAATATGTTAACAACATTTTAAAATTAAGAGCCAACCACCTATAGCTTTCGCTGAATGAATATTCACTGAAAAATAGATCTCAGGAGGTAGATCCAACAAAAAAGGAAAAGATACTCGGGTTAAGTGCACATTAAAAAGTGGAAACAAGGCCTGGATTCAATTAATAGATTGTCTGTTCATAGGGATTCAATTTACAATTATTAACTGCCAATGCAAGGAGTCATGTTGTTTGCGATTGGCGAGCAGTGCTTTTTAATGATGTCAGGGTAAATTCCTTATTAGTATATTTCATCAGAGGGACAATTGGAGAACCGGTAAAACGTGGAACAGAAGGAAGGAGAAGGAGAGAGAGAAGACACAGCACTAAATGGTAAAAAGAGGAAAGGAGCTGAAAGAGAAGACTATGAGATCGTGTTTGTCTTGAAATTATCTTTTGACATATCTCTCCAAACATCGATACTTTACCAAACACGACTAAATTAAAAATTAAAAAATTACTCTCTCAGTTTCTGCAAATAATGTGAAGTACTCTGCAATACAGTTGTTTGATGCTCTCCATTTTACCGTAAAGATCGCGTTAAGCTATCTGATGTAAATTCCTATTTTTTGTTACTTGTGGCATACCTGTTAGAAAATTCCTTTTACAGCATCACAGAACTTGTAAACCCCAACCTTTAGCACACTGATGAAATTTAATTGGCGTCTCCTCACAATCTGTAACCTTTTATTATTATTGTCGACCCAATTACTCTCCGTTTCTTGACAAGTACTTGTAGCTGCCAGTTGGGAACTTCTCATGTGTAAATTTGAAAAATAAATAAAATGTATTACACCAGAAGGTTGCCCTTAAAAGTTGAGAAATACTAAAACATTGAAGTGGAAAATAGTGAAAAAGCTAGGCTTCCAGATTGAATTCCATGAGATAATTTTTTGGAGACAAAGCATTCCAGTAACCATACCTGCTGCTTTGAGTGCATATGCAATATGCTTGAAGAAATTTGAAAATAATGGACTGGACCATGCATGCAACAAGCAGTTACCGCTCCAAATTTTTCATTAAAGAGGCAAAAACTCAATTAGAATTCCCTGAGAACTGGGATATAAACAACCAACTCCCGTGAATGTGATTTCGATGGTTATTCGAGTACAGATAACTCAAAACACACACAGAAAAAAAGAAAAAAAATCTTTGCAAAGTTGCAGTTAATATACATCCCACATTTTTCCAATGTTATTAAAGGTTTAATACATACTGCAGAAACTGGGCGATGAACAATTTTTAAAGTCAGAGTGCATTCATGATTCAAATAACTCATAAATACATTAAAATAATATTACAGATTGTAATAAGAGTCAGATACATTAATCATAGACCAATAGGACAGAGAAATAGAGATGAAAATTAAAAGCAATATTTCATGAAAAAAGCTAAAATTACCAGAAAAAATTATAATATTTAGTAATCTTCACTAGAGGTTTTTTCCCATTGAAGAAAGTTCTTAAACATTTTTTGACCTTAACACATTGTTAAAAACCTATTGGGATGAGAAAATGATGGGATAAAGAGCAGAAGAATATGAAAACATACAGCGAAAGCTTTAGTTTGTTGGAAAAATAAACGCTTCAAAAATTAACAAAGTACAAAATTCAGTTTACAAAACTTTAGGTGAAATATAAAAAATTGTTGGGTTCATTCATTATTTCCTGCAAGGAGATGAAAGAAAATGGAAAATTAAGCATATACTAAAATCGTAAATTACAATCAAACATATGATATTCAGGGAGTTTAAAAAGGAGGAAGTGAGTAATTGTACAAAGGAGGCAGGGACAAGAAAATGAGAAAAAAAGAAATGATTAACCCCCAAATGTAGATGGAAAATAAAAGTCTGAAAATTAAAAATAATTTAAACGATGAATGATCTGTGATAGGATTGTTCAGTAGCTTCTAAAAATAAATAAAGAGCCCTGAGTTTTTGTTTAACTTCTTCGAATCATAAGTCATTGCTCTATCATAAATATTCTGATGTTACTGCACCTAAACCTATTCTATAACTCGCTAGGTTTCACAGGGAACAACAGAATAAAATAAAGAACTTTTATACAATGACCAATTAAGTGAAACGATGGGACCTTTAATTCTAAAATTTCTAAATGAGAAAATTTACTGATCAACAATAATGGCTTCAATAAGTGATGGGATGATTCCTACAGACAATAGTCTCCTGTGACTCTTGATGTCACACGGAAAAGAGAGGGCTAAGGGATGGATCAAATAAAAAGGCTTAGAAAGGAGAAGATGTGGAGTCTGCCGACTAGTTAACAGTAAATGTGAGAAGCTTTAAATTTCAAAGCTCATGAGAGACAGAAACAGATAACCAGCAGAAGAGAACATTTCAGATACATTTCTAATTGAGGAACAAAAACCTTAGAAGCCCTCGGTGTATTTGAAAGATAAGAAAAAACCAGCGGAAAGCTTGAATTGCACAATATTTAAGGAAGAAATATCAGAGCTCTTGGACACAAACAAGCAGAATTTGATGGAACTTTTATTTTGTAAGAATCATAAACTAAAATTGTTTCATTCTCTCTGTAAAACCTCATCACTTTATGTAGGAAATTACAATNGGGGGGGGGGGGGGGATCAAATTGGAAAATTATGAAACTTCACAAATACGAGAATCTTTCGCATGATGATGAGTAAAATGTCATTGAAAAATTTGATTAGCTTTGATTGAATACATTATAGAGATTCTCCCGACCGATTTTTTGACCATAGTAAAATTTTGTTAACTGCTTCTTACTAGGTCTTTACATACAGAAGGGATTATCATGCATTTCAGGTCATTGGATACTTTTGACTAATATACTTAAAAGGAAAAAGCCTAAACCGATTGATTTACTTCAAATTTTTTGAATTAACAGGGGATTTTTGAACTGAATAAGTATTGGATGAGCACATGGGAGTGCAGGGACACCCAGAACTTGAAGTTTATGCTGTTCATTCAGACGCACTCACACATGTACATTCATAACAAACAATCCAACACTTCAACAAAATCGCGAAAATATATAACCAGAGAACTGAAGGGATTCTTCTGTATTTATATCGAACGTAAGACTAATCTAGCTGCAAAGAGCGCAAAGTAATGTACTTTGACTCAATTTCGTTATTGAAGAATAAATAAAGATAAAGAAAATTATTCTTGGTATGTACAACTTAATTTGTAAAGGAATGTGCTGATAACTAATCTAAAAAACTAGGTACTTCAGCAAGGACAGAAGAGGAGAGGATGTTTTTGCCCGGAAAGATGTACCTGCCTTGGCAGATAAGAAGAGAGGAGAATTTGTTTTCTCTCAAAATCAAATCTTAGTCCAAACTTGGACAACCAAGAAGCAACAATTGTGTCTAATGATGAAACATGAAAGATGCTGATCCGGAACTATTCGGAAAACCTGAAAATATTTGTAGGGTAATACAGCTGGTGTTTCAGAAAGGCACCTGTTTTTCGTAACCAATAAATGATAAAAAAAACTCAAATGAAACTGGACAAAACATCTATTACGAGCTCCTCAAAACTTCTGAATCAATTTACAGCGAGCTCATCAGGTTGAAGGTCACAGCGGTAATGACTGATTTGGTTCTGATTGGGACACAATTGATAAATGAAAAACTTGAACTAAGTTCTCAAGGGCTTGAATGAATGCAGAAATGAGCAGAAAAACGAAACTTCTCTTCACAGCAAAAAGTAAGGCACTTGATTTTTCCATGAGATATTGCCCACGAAAAATAATATGTTGTATTAGGAAGAAGAAAAGGCAGCACTAGTAAGAAAGCTTTGATACAAAAAACAATAAAACCAGATAACAACTGGAAGACATTTCTTCATTTTAATAGATGTCCACAGAGACGGAATGTGTATTCCTTATTTGATAAAAAAAACTTGAAAAGAACACAGCAATGATCATCAAAAAAAGAAGCAAACAATATAAAACATTGTTTTATTTTGCTTGTCGTCGCCTTGAGATGAAGACGAGCAATCAACACTATGTATGATTCAAATCTACGATCAATTTTCTGTCATGAACAAAGAAAAACTTCCTTCATCCTCATCATTTTTAGTCCTTGTCAAACCGCAACAGAATTTGATGCATCCTTCTCATCTGCCATTTATAACAAATATAATCAACTTCCACCTTTATGCTGATAAGGCAATATCAGCAAATATTGCATGCATTTTGATACCAACTGATAAATCAGTGATATGAGCAAAAAGAGGATCTAGTGCAGATGATTTGCGATGTTTTCAACGGACATTGAAAGACAAGTTCGAGAATGCTAGGTACTCACAAAGAAAGACAGCATGAGGAACACAAAAAAGCTTTTCAAAAAATTCCAACAGAAATTGAAATTCTTCTCTCCTAATCACTAAGCAGAGGTCTCATTTTTTCATAGATTGTGTCCTCATAGCTTACCACTTATTTATAAAAAAGAACTTAAAACGGCCATACTAGAGAACTTCGACGGACAAATATTAGAAAACACCAATAACCACACGAATGCTTCCTAATCAACTCTTATTTTGTCCAAATTCTTCACATGAAAGAAATTATACGGAGAAATACCTAGAGCATTTTCAAATTCACACTGGATGAAAATAAAATTAGGAGGAAATATTTACAAAATTGATTGAAGAGGAAAATTATCATAAAATTGGATTACCTACCTAGAAGTTGTTATACACAAAATTGGAAAAAATTAAGTACCTCATTTAAAGAAAACAAAAAATAAAACAGAAAAGGACAACCTAAAATTAAATTACTTGGAATGTTGAAAAGTCAATTATCACGTTACCCAGAGAAATTTGAAAGGTAACATTAAGTACAACGATGAAGATTAACTTTTGGGCGTTTCCTATTTTAAGTACAAAAACTAATCCGACTTGAAACTTTCACGAAAGTAGTTGTTCAGAGAAGACAATCATTTACATCTACAACTATCCTTCACTAAGGGAGGATCGTCCTCAAACATTTTATTCAATTCCTTGACATCAGCGTTGGCCTTAATGATTAGTTAGTTCATTGTAGCACGAGCAAAATTTGTAATGCAATCAATGTATACTTATAAAGACTCAATGCAAATTAGACTGACAGGGGGAAAAGAGATAGACAGAGGGGAAAAGAAAGGATTGAAGAAAAGGACAAAGAAAACGCTTTTCTCTCTCAAAGCAGCCAAGTCTTCCTTCAAAGGATGGACAGACGCCTTGTCAAGCTTTTTTTCTTTAAATTTATGAACAACACAGCGTTTAAAAAGTTAAGAAACGATATTTAGGAGACTTTTCTTTTCTACTGGAAAAAAATTCGAACATGAAGTAAGTCAAAGTGAATAAGGACCCACCATTGTCCAAGACACTTCTTTCGAAGTCATTTTTAGATAGGCAGTCAGTTGCCCTTTTTCTAACTCTTGATGTTCATTTTTCAATTAATTTGAGTGACAGCAACTATAGGATTCTAAATGCAATTTCCGGAAAGAAAAATGAAAAATTTTGTGCAATCGTACATGGCTGAATTTCATTAGAATAATGAAAATTAAAGGATTTAATTGAAAGAGGAAAAAATTAAAATTAACTCTCTCACAAGAATAGGTAAGCCTACTTCAAAGTCCATACAATGAAATTATTTTTGAACAGAGCATCTTTCAAAATTGCAAAAATATAGATGCACTGTTCTTGAAATTGAAAATCTACCTGTACAATAAACTGATTCTCTACAAAAATTCGACAACTAATATCTTAAAAAAATAAAATTAAAACTATGATAATGATGATAATCATCTTCTTGAACTTTGCGCAAAATTGTCTAAAAATAAAATCCAGAGGGGAAAATTCAGTCCTCTCTAAAAATTTGGTAGAATAATAAATAGGCATGATAGTACAAAACAATCACAGTTTTAAATTCACTGATTGGGTCCCCAAATATTACGATTGAAAAAATTTCACAAAAAGTCATAAGGGTAATATGAATTATGATGAGATCTTAAACGATGATGCCTTTATACCTTCAACATTGAGGAGCTGTAAGGTTGCATGTAGAACAGCATCACCTTTTCAGCTAGGAATGCAACACAGGAATGAAAAATATAGAAAAAACTGGAATATTAATGCACGCAGTTGTTCATAAAACGACCCTGTCATCAAGTCATTCCCATGAAACATTGAAAACAGAATAAAAAGAGGGATCGACAAGAACTAGACAAACCAATAAATTAATTACGATCCCTGCAAGAGGAGGTAAGAACATAATAATTGACAAGACAAGAAGCGAACTTGCAGGTCATAAGTCACAACCAAAAGGGGACAAGTGAAATGGTCTGGGTCCATGATAGTAAGCTCTCCTTCCCCAAGATTATGTTGATAAAAAAGTCTTTAGCAAACCAGGGAGTGATAGCATGCTTAGGGAAAATGAGGACTTTGATGGAAGCAGAGCTGCAGGTGAGGATTGGGTTAAAGACTGATGATCACATCCCCCATTCAAATTGTGGCATGAAAAAACTGAGTGTGCTGAAATCCACTAATGGATTGACCAGGAGGAGGCACAGAGTAGAGCGCAGTCGCATTTGACACAGCAGGATATGAGAATTGGCGCTTCATCGCATTTCCGTTTGGACTAAGGGGGTTTTGAGTTGTAGGGAACGCCTGATCCCAGGACCTTTTAACGCCCATGAGCTGAGGGACTTGTGAAGCGGGAGGGACTAAATGGTTGGGAGTCAACGCGTAAGCTGACTGCAGGGACTGGAGGGATTGCTGGTTCGGAGATTGGACAGTGGGCGGAGGTAGTTCAGGTTGGAAGTGAGCGGCCGGAAGTCTGGGAGGAACATACAAGTAGAGGGGTTGTGCTTGAGGGAAGTGGGGTGGCAAGTAGGCTGCTGCTTGCGGTGTCGGCATCATCGCTGAGCTCGAAACAACGGAGGTTGAGGGCGAAGTGGCGATTGAAGATGAGGCTATATTCGTTGTTGGAGCAGAGCTAGCTACGTTCGGGGAGGGCAAAGCAGGAAGGGACTGCACGGGAGGCAGAAGGCCAGGGGTTGCAGCGGTGCCACTCAAATCAACCCAGTTTTGTTTGGCCAAAGCTAGGTTCATCTGAGAGGCAGCTAAGTGCTGTAATGTAGGATTCATCATCCATAAGTCAGGCTGTGATTGTCGCATCATGTTCTGCTGAACAGCTGATTGCACTTGCAAGCTGTTCAATAAGTGCCCATTGACTAACGGATCCCATGGGGACTGCAATGTGGGGGGTGGTTGCGTAAAAACAGTTGGGTGAACAGGGGTAGGGGTAGGGGAGCTGCCAGAAGAGCTCAACATACCAGGTGAAATCAGGGCCTTTGTCACCGGAGATGAAGCATTCGTGGATTGTAATCCTCCCGAGTGCACTAAATTCATGTCATCACTAGAACACTGGAATACTTCTATGTATCGTTGTTTTTTCCCATATATCATGTATCGATGATGCCTTCCTTGCGCAGCTTGGAAAGCACTTGCTTCTGAATCCATTTGAATAAAGGCCTCACCAGATGGTTGCCCCTGAATTCAAACCAATGAAATTCTCATTTAAAACTTAGTAATTGGATAAACGATCAAAATTATAACTGATGTGGTCTCAGAAGTGAACTCTTAGTTTTTTTCTCTCTTAAGAATTGTTATAGCAACACTAAAAAATATTTATACTGCCCTTGTTCTTCAGAAATTAGGTCCCTTGGTTGATCAGAAAAGTCCGAAGTAAAACACAATTTTCTAAGGGTCAAACTATCGCAAGGATGATTTTTTAAGGTAAGGTATTTATTTTATTTTTCTAGAAAACAATTCAGTTAAATAAATGAGTTTAGAAATCGGATGAGAGGTTTGCAAGATATATTAATTGTGCTGGACCATCCGCTAAATTTCTGAACTAATGAAGTCTGATAATATTGGCACTGTATTACTACAATAATGACAATTTCTGTTGCTAGAAAGAAGAAATAATAATATACATCACGAGAATAATTGAAAATGTAAATTTGGTAAGAGATGTAAAAAAAGCAACAAAAAAAATTTAAGTAGAGAGACAAGAATGAAGTGCCGAAAATAAAAATAAAATTATTTACCTGTGAATTATACACCATATGGACACCTTGGTACACAATATTTTTCGAGAAATCTCCCAGAAATTCTAGAATATTTTCAACAGAGGCTTCATATGGTAGACCTCTTAGCCGAATACAGTCTTTGCGTACACCTGACGTAATTACAAACTGAGGTACAAGAGGAACTGGCGGCTGTATTTGTGGCATTACCAGTTTGCTTTCAAACGATTTTGTATCTAGAGACCGATTTAGAACCTGCAAAATATTCATAGACTTTAGAGACTTTGTGAATTGATGGATTATTTTCACATCGTTAGTTACCGAATCATGTTTTGATTATTTAAGCTTAGGGATTGGCAATAACAAGTAAAATCTTTTCAATTGTAAAGTTTCTATATTTATTGTCATTTTTACCCTGGGAAATGGGGTCTTTCACTCCAAAAATAGAAATCATCATCAATGCGAAAAAATGCTGTGATATTTTTGAAACTTCTACCATTGAAGAAGTTCAGCATTGCTAAAACAACAGACATGGTTTCTTTCTAACAAATGTTATTTTTACTAAAATAAGGAGATGTGACCTTTTGCTCCGTGTGACATTTAACCCCGAACATGAGAGATATTTACAGCCAACAGACGAGCGTTCCTGATTATAACCACACAAGCAATCAATGATTACTGGAGTGTCACAGGAAAAACTGTTGGCAACTGATATATAAATAACTTTCACGAAGGTTTACCATGGACCAAGAGAATAAATAAGGACCCCCAACTCCGGTTAGCGCTGACATCAGCGCTCCCTGGCAGAGGGTGTAGTGAACTAAACCGATGATTGGGTCTTCCTGTCTGTATTTCCATGCACCACCTATTTAGGCTTATCACTCAGTAGTGCTCATAGAAGTTTCTAGATCCTCGTATCCTCGTGGTCGCCCTGCAGTTTTGAAGAGTTTAGTGTGAAAAGTTTCCCATTTTCATTTCAATCTTCGTCAGTCTTCGTGTACATAAACTGGTATTAATGTGAAGTGTTATTTCTAACCGTTTTACTCAGCAGCAACTGCTGTTGAGAAAGCCAAAGGAAGTGTGTATGTAGTGTGCAGCAGGAATCAGGATTGTACTTTTAGCCGAAGGCGCCTCTCTGTTAAGTGAAATCTTTTTAGTGAGAAATAGTGTTGTACTGATAAAAATCAACTGAGAGTCACAAAATCAAAGATACTTGACTTCAAGCATTACCTTTAATTTGATTATTAGCAAATCTCTTTGATTCTGCGTCAGAAGTTGACTGAATCATCTTTGCTCGTGTTTTGATAAGATACTTCAAATCAAAGTCTTTCGCATTGACCTCTGCAGAAGGTATGTATCTATACAATTTCATTAGTTTGCGAAAGTAAAATGTATTAAAGTATCTACACAAATAAATAAATCATAGATAAACAAAGAACATTGCATGGAATAACATACTATAGAGGTACGATCGTGGACCGCTGTGGCGTTAGTTCACCGCACCCTCTGCCAGGTTCGCTGCGAGCGCGCGTTAACGGTTTTTAACACAGGTTAGCATAGGGAGTTGGGAGTCCTTATTTATTCTCTTGGTCCATGGGTTTACTTCTTGGGGTTTCGAATTTTGCCATTTTTAATTTTTCTTTGAAAACTCAATTTTATAAAAAATCCTGAACAATATTTCAAGACACTTGACTGGATGAGGTATGTCACTGAATAAAAAGTGGATCATCTTCAATAGAAAAGAGATTTTTGGCAAGTGCAAAGCCTCACATGTTTGCTCCTGAATACTGGGGTGAAAAAATGAAAAAAGAAACAAATAAAAAATACGAGTAAACCAATAAAAACTAACCTGCTGAACTTCAGCTGGCGTACTCCTAAAGAGTTCTATATACCTCACACCTATTAGTTGCCTATGCTTAGACAGGGCCTTTGGTGCATCGGACTCTTCGGCAAACAAAACAAATGCATCACCAGTAGCTTTTTTGTCTGGTTTCTTCACAAATAGAACACCTTCTTCACCATTCATTACATGACAAGCTTTATCTTCAGGACCAGCCTCGAAGAAGGAAATCTGGAAATAAGGTAGATCAGATTTGATGAAAAAGTCGTGAATAATCTTCCTGAAGAAAGGAAATTATACATTTTTCTTACTGCCAAAGTCACAGTTCCAAACTCTTGGAAACCATCTTAGGAATGGAAAAATATGCGTTTTGATGGAGCTTTAATTCTAAAATGTTTGAAGTAAACAAATCATCAATCGCTGATTAAATAATGACCTGACATAGTGTGTTTAAAGTCTATTAAAGAGACTTTGATTTTTCTAAACCTTGCTTTTAGCATTTAAAATGCCTTAATCTGAAGCTGTTGTGAGGAGCATTCCTCTTTCAAAGACAAAAGTAGAGAACAAAAAACTTGCCCCAAGGTAAGATGAGGAACATTTCTAAGGAAAACCTCCTCCTGAGTTTAAGGAGCATGCATCTAATTTCATTTGTATCCTTTATGCTTGGTGGGTGTAAACCTCAGAATGGTTTGCACTAATTTTAACTTGTCATAGAAACGTTGAAAAGATTTTTAATGAACCAAGACTTTATCTCGTCATTTTACATTCAAAAACTAGGAATCCATTAACATTCTTAAAGTACTCTAAAGGTCTTTAAAATTCAATGGTGCGTAAAACTTACAATTGACAACAATTACTATTGACAATTGGATAAACTTACAATTTGACTAGCAGTGCAATCATAGGGAAGTCCTCGCATTCTGATAATTACTTCTGCTCCTTGAGTTAAAAATGTTTCTGCTTCTGTCGTTCGACCTGGTGAAAACAGCCGAACAGAAATAAAAATTAAAAAATATGAAGACTCGATCATCTTAAAGAAATTAACAAGAATTTATTATCTCAAGAAATTAGAAGTTCTATTTTAAATGGTGCTATAACATCAACAGTCAGTAGATAATTTAGAGACTCCAATAAAAGATTTTTGCTTCACAAATTTAAAAGTCAAAAGAAACAACTTCTAAAATTGCAATCCCAAGATTTTTTGTTATATATTTTTGGAGCAACAGGAGTAAAAGTTTCACGCTAAGAGAATTAGGTCTTAGTAGAATTAGCAGAAATTATTTTATACTTCGAATTGAAAGGTATAGATACAAGGAGAGGTAGATAAATAGGTAACGAAGTATTCACTGAGTAGTAGTCAACATACCTCCAGCGACATTGATAAAGTCCTCGCCAGGGGCTTTGTAAACCTCTATGTAACGATTCGCAATATGATGCTTGTGTCTTTTGAGAGCCATATCTCTGTGTTCTTGATTCACAAACCTAACCAAAGCTTCACCGTTTCTGCGACCTTGGGCACTTAGACAAAGAGCGACGCCACCTCTGAAATAAATGAAAATGCATTATTAATTTTATTATTTTCATTACATTTTGTTTTATTAGCACTCATGTGCTGCATACAAAGTACTCCATTTCTCAAACTGGAATTCCCACAGATCCCACCAGTTGCATACCATCCATCTGCAATCTGGCTAGGCCTCCTTTAAATCTTCTTCAAAAGGGAAGGAACACAGGCCAGAATCTTCTTCGAAAATCTATTATCCTGAACCTTTTTCAAATGATCATATACCAGTCCTACCAATTCAATTGAATGTCATGTTTCATTTCATGAAATTTTTAAACAACATTCAGAGGAGGAAACTGAAAAGAATTGTGTTTCAATTGTGGTGATTCACTAATGTTCGACGTCATTCAACAGTTTCTAAGTTATCTCAGGTAGATGAAAAGATGCTTTGAGCGATTAAGGGCCATTCATAAAATGCGTAACACTCGGTGCCCGGGAGTCGACATCAATCCTCACTATTTATAATCATAGTCTCTTTAATTTGGAAAATATAAATAAAAAAATTTGAAATTTACCATCACATAACTTAAATGCGGAGATGAGAGTAAAAAATGAGGAGGAGGCAGCACATGAAATTCCTTGAACTGGTAAAAAAAATAAAAACTGCAATAGCATCTCACTTTTTAGCTGGAGAAAAACATAAGTTTTGAAAAAGTGTGTCTACACGACTGAATATTAATATCTTATTAGAGCAAAATAAAAGGAACTACTACCATCCAAAATAGGATGACCCAAGTGAGCAGTTAATTAAAAGGCCTGCACGAGATGAACTGTAGTATTAAAAACATCCCACAGGGATGTAAAGTGGCTTCCCCAATAAGGGAGGAAACATTTAAATAATTAAAAAGAAGAGATGTGCGCGACTTAAAAATAAACTTACTTGGCCATATTAAGTCCTCTAAAAAATTTGGCAATATCTTGGTCCGATGATTGCCAGGGTAAACCACGTGCTTTGACGACACAGTTATTATCTATTTCCTCATCCTTTGAACTGTAAGCAATAATAGCAATAAATTAGAAGATAGAATGATGGTTTGGCATTGAAAACAATCATTGAACTTAACTTCAGATTTTTTGCCAAAAAACCAAAAAGCCAAGAAATATCGGGGGCTCAGAAATTTTTAGGGGGCAGCGGGTTTTTTTTTTTTTTTTTTTTTTTTTTTTTCTAATTCTAGCATGCTATTATAACTTTCCTAGACACTGATTTCGCTTTATGCAGCTATTACAGGCGGAGTTTACAAAATTCGAGGAGTAGCGTTTTAATGAATTGCCTATTTATTTTGAAGAAAAAGAAAAAGAAGGAGGAGGAAGAGGAGAAAGAGGAGGGGGAGGAGGAGGAAGAGATGGAAGAGGAGAAAAAAAGAAAAAACGAGTACTGACAAATTTTTAGATGAAGTTTCTTGATCGTAGTGCCAAGTTAGTGTAAGACACCCTTGTAATTGTCACTTAGTGAATCTTTTCACTCACAGTCTTATTCTAATCTCTTCACGAGAGGGGAAGGAATCATAAAATGTTCAGGGAGGGGGGGGGGTTTACCCTAAGGCGCAGAGGCGAGATAATGGATGATTCCTTTTTTTTAAATTCCGAGTTAGAATTCAAATTTTAGTCTTACCCGAAGACACAAATACGTTAAAAAATTGAAATAAATTGCTAAGAGGCTCTGAATGGTTACATGAAGATTCCAGAGGTTTCGTGTCAAAATGAGCGACAGAGTAATAAAAAAAGTGAAACGGGGGAAAAACGTGGAGGTCTGGAGGATCACCTGCAGCTGTTAAAATTAGTAATTTCCTTGCATCACGTACGAATGCTTTTAAAATTCATCCCAGAGATCGTTTCTAAAGGAAAAAATTCATCAAGACAGAGGGGGAGAGAGAGAAAGAGAGAGGTAAAGTATGCTCGAGATGAGCGAAGCATTCAAAAATAGAAAAAGTGTGACTAAGGGACTAGGTAAGTCACGACAAAATCGAATCGATAGAAAGAGGTTAGAAATTTTATTCCTCCAAAAACCTTCATGATATGGATGAAATTCAACGCCCATTTTCACAATCAGTACATTTTTCTCGACTTAAAATTTTTGATAGAAGAAAATATGCGGTTAAATAAGCTCAAAAGCACTTCTGACGAATTTCCCCTCCGAAAATATGCTACATTCAGCCGAAGTGTGTATATTCTGCCTTTTCTACACACCATGCGCCAAATGCGCCTAAAAATAGGGCTTGGGCGCCCAAAAATTAGGTTGGCTGGGCCATCGTGGCGCCTGAAAAAGTTGACGCACCCCTCGATTTTTTCAAAATCCCTATCACGAAGCAGCGTTGGCGTATAATGCTTGTACAGAAAGTTAATTTGGCTCCTAAAAAATTATAGGAGGCTCCTAAAAATCGGGGTTTCCGGCTTTCCGGGCAAGAAGACGCCTAAAATATAAAGTAGCACTACGGACTACGCTCTTCATTCTTTAATTCATTCCGAATGATACCTATCCTTCTTAAGAGTAAAACTTGGTAGGGCACGAAAATTGGTTCGTTTCCGTAATAAGGGTCATTAATTCATTTGCGTGGCACGCGAGCTGCAAACGACCGCCTGAGTAAATATTTGAACATCATTTGTGAAACTTTAAATAAACAACTCAAAAACGGTAACTGGCTTCGGTTCGCTGAGCTAATCGATTATACTCAGAGCGCGGGTATCAACATAAACACGGGGGCAACAGGTCGAATGCGTAACTGGGTGCCCCCGGAAAATGCGTCCTTTGATGCGGTCGTTTGAGACGTACGGGGAAAATGAAGAAACAAGCGAGAAAGCTCAATTACGTTTGTAATAGAGAAGCGCTGAGCTCTTTTCTATGTAGGCGCGTTTTTAAGTTCCCCGAAGAAGATGAACGCCGTTGAGATAAAAGAACTCGCTCGCCAAAATTTCTACCATCGATTTTGAGAAATCTACACTACGGTGTAAAAAAAGATAAATTATAGAAAAGACTCTAGAATTATAGAAAAGAATCTACTCTAGATATGCAAAACCCCCCTCCGCCATCTTGATGTTCAACTGGTGCGCTATTTGAACGCATTGCCACTATTGTACTAGAATTCTAGAGGCAGGTTGAAAATTAAAAAAAAATCAAAAATGATAAAAAAAAGCTACGTGACGGTGTTCAACTTCGATTGTAGAAATCGATCTTAAACGAGGGAATTTTAGGAGAATAAAGATAAAACAATACGAAACCACACGCAAATCCATATGCATTCTTACCTGCCCATGGCTCTTGGGTCGATTACTTGAAATGTTCCAAAGGTTGCATTAAAAATAGAAAAATACAAATGAAAGAACTTGAAGTACGTGCGTACAATTTCAAATTGGTGCTCTGCATGATTCGAATTTAGAGCAAAATCTTTAGGTAATTTTCGCCCACGCATGAACTAAGTATAGGGTCTATTGTGGGTTACCGTTTGTTAGTCTGTAACTTACCTTCTTTGCCCATTGCAACCAATAGGATCGTTCCATTTTTCTTTTGACTTTTCAATCCATCTATCTATCTAGCTACACGCAGCCCGATGTGCCATTGAAAGTCTCGAATGATCCCCAAGCTCGCGTTTATTTATTTAGGTTCCTCTATAAGGAGAGTATAGTCATGTCTGTGCCGCTCTCTGATTGGTAATTCAGTTTCAGCATGGAGTACATAGAGTCGTAATGTAAATGGAAGAGCTGGCACCATGTTCTGGTCGACGAGTTCCGAACCCGGTGTGCGCCGAGCTTCGGTCAATCAATTTGGCGATGTAGAATGTATCGAAAACAATCGATTATGAAACGAAAAAGTGACCCGGCGTGACGCAGGAGTTTCGGAATTCGGGACCTGGAAAATGCTTAAAAGTGGCGCCAGATCTCCCATTCACATTACGACTCAATGTATACTCTGTGAGTTTCAAGCCTTCATGAGGCAGGATCATCCAATTCTTCTGGTTCCTCAATGTTGTCAATAAGAGGATACGTAATAATAATAGTAAACGAAGCGAGTCCGTTTTTTAACGACTAACAGAGTAGGTGATATTTAGATCACGCGCTTTGAAGTGACACAACTCAACATAGGTTTAGACGATGGGGACTGAGGAGAACTCAAGTTTCAACAATAGTATGAGCGCATGAAGAACAAATTCAAGCGAGTCTTCGGAGAGTTTACTTAACACTGATCGAATCTTGTTGTCGACTCATCAAAAGGACTACATCACATTCGATGATTCGTTGCGAAACCAAGCTACTGCACTTGGTGGAGGGAGAAGCTGCAACTATTTCCGTTTTCGAAAACATTATGCGTCGCGGATTATTTCAATTGCACTTCGGGCGAAATTGAGATGCATCGTAGAAAACAACAGAAGGCGTTTCAGCATCGCTACTTTATTTTGACGTTCTAAAACTTGCTCACATCATAAGATACTATTCTGACTTTAAGTAATGTGACTTAAGATATGATACTAAGACGTTGAAATGTACGTTGAACTTACCAAATGCCAGGTTCTAATTTGATTTCTACAATTTCAGGATTGCTAAAACAATGACCTGCAACACAAGAGAAAAATCACAGTTGGTTTAGATTTTGTCAGTATAGAGTTAAAATAAAAAATTGTACCTTTCAAGAAAACAAACCGAAGTTCTGGGCATGATTGAGAAACATTCCAACAACACTACAGTCAGCTTTTCAGGGAGTAAGTAATGTTTTATTCAAGTAGTCTCTGATGAATCTCTCCAAATGCCCGTTTTGCAAGTCCACACGAGAGGAAAAGTTTCATGGAATTATTCGAGGACGAACTGTTGGATCTGAACAGAGCCAGCCTATCTACAACACATGTAGCCTAATTTCTTCTAATGTTTTAATTTTTGACGGAAAAACTAACCAAGCCCTAGCTTAAAACTTAAAAGGACTACTCTATAGAACATATGGATAAATTGCGGGCAGTTTCAAAACATAGTGATGTTCACGCAGCAGTTTAAAGAGAACGAAAATGGTCAGTCAGGGGGAAAATAGGCATATTCCCAGTTTTTAAAAATCATCTACATGAAGAATTGCTCGAAAAGATTTTGTGCGTACTTCTGGGATCTCGTGTTCTGGGGAAGCTTTAAAATGTGTACAGCAACGCTAAATATAAAATGAAAAAAAACGCGTCACGCGATATAGATGACCTTGATGCTCCGCTGTAGTCTACATCCCGGTCTGGCTTTAAATCAGCACATGTAAAAGTACTCGGGTGTTCCTCTCATACGTGTTCACGCGAAAATGACAACAGAGAGTTCCACAGGTGTTAAAACTCTTCATAAAATCTCGCTCGTTCTTCTGAATCTTACAACTGAAAGTTCAGATAGAACACCTTCAGAGTAGCGAGTTCATCGACACTGAGACATCCATTTCTGATTGGTTTACCAAGCCACAGGGAACGAGAGCGTTAAGGTCATTTTCGTATATTAAAATTTTGAAAAGCCTCTTGCCTATACCTCCCCTCTTCCTACCGATCGGTAAATTTTATAGGGAAACTCCCAATCTTATTTTGCAGAGTGTCTATTAAACTTTAATTTTGGATTTTCCTGATATTTAAGACGAGATATTTTGATTTTTTGTGCGAATAAATTGACATTCGTTTGGTTTAAAAGAAATCAACATATTAAATGAAAGAGAAATGCTTAACGCACTCAGAATTTCCTGATCCATTACCGATTTTCCTGATTTTTCCTATCAACATCGCATTTCCTGATATTTTCTGGGTTCTCCGGTTTAGACATCCTGTTTCGGAGTGTTACCTCTAAATTTTTCGCACATCATTCCCTCTTACGCACTAGAAAAGTCACAAGGAATGAGTGCAAATGATGAGATCAGCATCGTCGTAAACAATAGACAAAAAGCATGGTCAGGAAAGCATGACTTTTGACTGAGTTCAATATTATATAGTTATAGTGTAGCGTACTTCGATAAACTAAGGGCAGTTGGATTGCATTTTTTTTTTCTTTCCCATCAGGAGCACCAGATGGCGACGTGCATTGAGTCATCTAGGACCGTGCGCACGTAATTAGGCACAAAATTTGATCACATTAAGCAGAAAAGTACTAAGTCACATCAGCCACTCCCAAATTTCATCGAAAAATTCATGTTCTTACAGGAAAACGGTTGTATGGAATCTTTTGAAAACTTCAGGAAATTTTCTTCACGTCACAGCAGAAATCCCCTGACATTTTCAAAAGAATCTATACTACTGTTCTCCCATACAAAAATAAATCATTCGATGAAATTAAGCAACGGCTGATGTGCCTTGGTTCCTTTCTGCCCGACGCGGTCCAATTAAGGCACCGTTTAAGACCCTTTTTCAAGATGGGCAATTACACTGCCGACACCCCAAATTAGGAATCTCGCCTTGGAGTAATTAAGGTGACTTAAAACTTCGGGCTTCGAAGTGCCCGAAGATGAGAATTCCGAACAAAATCTTGGTGCGGTTAGGTCAATTTCTTCCAAAAATGTCTTCGTATACGTGTAAACGAGTATTTACACCCAGGGCCCCACTTACGTCGCTCCAAAATAAAAAAAAATTCACGTTGATCTCAAGCGAGCTCTAGGCTTCGACTAATCGGAGTGCACTGAGCACGGGATCGAGCGACGTTGAAGGTGCAATAATTACTGGCAAGTAAAGCTGTAATTTCCCGAAATCTGCGTTCTACTACCACGAAAACTTAAAGTTGCTGAATAAAAACGGAAAGGGAAGAAGAAGAAGACGAGGTAGAAGAAGAAATTATATTTGCCTCAGTCATCTCTAAAATTTATCCCACGAATTAGCCAGACTACATGAGACGTTGCTTACTTTTTTAAATAGAAGACTGGACAAAACTGAAACTTGAAAGTTTGTGAGTATTCTCTTAATGATCTGAATTAAATTCACGCAGGGTGACACAGTTAAATTTGCTGTTTAAAAAAATAACAAATGAGAAAATAAACATTAAGTTTAATCACTAAAATTAGTAAGTAAAATGTTCCTCGTTGCTTTTCCATTTTTTCAGCCCTATGGACGTTTTGAAATAGGATGCAAGGGGATAGCATTACTAATTCTGAATTTTCATACTATCTAACACGTCCACCGTTTTATCAATGAAATCTCGAAGGAGTCAAATCGGATTTCTTTTGCGAATCCATCAAGATGACTCCAATTGCCAGTTATCAACAGTAAATCAAAATATATATCTGTGTTGGGTCGCATGGACGAATTAATATCCGATTGAGACGACGATTGAGAACAAAACGACGTGTTCAGCCGGTATTGCGCGGGGCCCGGCTTCACTTCACATTGTGTTCTCGTTTTCGTGGAATTATCAAATTTAATTGACTCTGCCGGGATATTATCAACGTCAGTGCGTCATACACTTTAAAAAAATATACTTTCAAACGCCAAGTAACGGCGTTGTCGCTCCTTTTGTTTTTCGCGAAAATACTTCGAAAGGCTGTTACGGAGGACTGGAACTTCAAAAGCGATGACAAAGCTATTTTTGTACGTGCACACATTCATCGAAATAAAGAGTCAGTGATAATGTGCTGTTGTGCGATGCTCCGGTCTATCGCAAATTGAAAACGAGATCATCAGCACTAGATGTAGTGAATTCATGTGGCTGTGTTCCGATTCATGATATTTGTGAGCACCGAACAGCAAATCTGTGATTTTCGTATGTTTAGGTAATCACTAAATTTTTTTACAGCGTGTATTACCTCTTGCGCAGTATATGCATCGTCGGTGGGTTGATCATGGGACGCATCGGAGGGAGTGGCGCGAGTAAGAGTATTCGTCAAACTGAATATACCACTATTCGAGCTCTACGGTAATGCGTGAGGCCTAGTCTTAATTTGAAGGCGCTTTTCCACTCGCTGATTCCTACATGAATGAATTGAAAAACAGGATAGATGACATTTTCCACTGCGTTAGTGGAAGTCGTTGACCTGCCTACCTCTGTCTTATAAATCAGTAGTAAAAGATGCGCAGGTTGTTTTAAGTCCCGAATCCGGTCAAATTCACGTGAACTTATAAATACATAGATTCCTATAATTTTTGAAGGATTACCTATTTTATTTCTAAGTTTTTGAAGGCAAGAAATACTTTTTATAAAGCGTTCACCATTTTGGCAAAATAATGGTGCTTTCTCACCACCTCGATCAACTCCCACCCAGCGACACGGTATGGAAATTGAGCGAGAGAATGGTTGACGACGGCGCAGAGATACAACTATTCGTACTTGACGGATGTCCGTATTGCGTCTGCAAAATTGAAGGCGCGATAGCGCGAGGCATGAACGCGCAATATGCTCGCTCTATGCTGCCAATGAGGTGTCGCTCGGGATTCAAGGAAAGTTAAAAAAAGACGAGACTCGAGTACGTCTCTCCTATCTTTAGCTGTGTTTGTACTTGACTTTTTTCTCCTTTTTTTCTATTTGATGCCCGAATTTTATTTAATGGTGCATTTTATTAGATCTGTATCTGAAACTTGCAAGTGCCGGCCCCATACAACCCGCGGGGCACGAGGTTCTAGCAAGCGTAAATGGCATCCAAGCAAGGGTATCTGCCGTGCTAAGGAAGAACGCCGTATGAAAATTCGAGAGTTGCCAAATTTCCTTCGATAAAATGTTTATTATGGAGGAAAGTTATGAATATTTTCCCTCGTAATTTTCAGGAACTTCATGTGAAATTGCAAACAACATTATCTGAAAAGTTGGAAGAAACATATCGACGGCGAAACTATCAAACCACGTATCTCGTTTGCGGTGTTTAAAAATCTCCGCTCACATTTTATTTTTTTGAAGTAGACCAAATCAATATCATTCCTTGAAATTTTCACAGAATTTTCTCCGCACGAAGAGGAAAAATCACGGAAATTTTCAAGACTGGACGTTAAGTAGCTTTTCATTTAAAAAAGAAAGTATGACAGGAAGTCTGCGACGTCGCAAACCGAGATACGTGGTTTGGTAGTTTCACCGTCGATATTCATAAGTGTACCAGAAAATTCGTGTTTTATAAATGGGAACCTGGCAACGCCTGAAGGTTCATACGACGTTTTTCCTTAGTACGGCAGTAATGGCGTCAGCATATGCGTTTCGCGGAAGTCGGTAGGTACCTGCGCTATTACCGACGCAAGAACTTGGCTTTTCAGTTGTTTTCACTTTATTCACGACCGGAGCACGAATCAGTAACACCCACATTTCTAATCCATGTTGGATCCAGAAAAATCCTCCCCCAAAAAGGGCATATCTTTGAGCGCGAGAGGAAGCATTCCTTATGAAAAATCCAATGATCAGGGTTACTATAATTTCCTCATCTTCAAAATCCCTGACTTTCCGTGGCTAAAAATTTTCTTATTCCATGACTTCCCCTGACCTTCGAACAAAATTTCCAATTTTCTTTTTTTAACAAAAACGCTGACTTTCGCTTAACTTCGAACAAAATTGTCTTGTTTCGAGATCAAATAATTCTAGCTAGAGCGCAATTCAGCTATGCATTCACCACTGCAAAAATGTAAAGGAAATCGACAAGCCCAGCGTTC